TGATTGCCCTTAATGCTATTAAAATATTACGAGTACGAAGTATTAAATTATTTTAGACCATCTTTTGATTAATTTTCATATGTTAATAATAGAAATTATATTTTAAGAAAATATTTTCCTTCTTACCAAACAACGAAAAATATAAATCAAAACTAATTTTCCTTGGAATTTTTTTTTTGGAAAATATTTTCTTTCTCAACCAAACACCCTCTAAAAGTTGCATATATGGCACTTTTAAGTCAACTGAAATGGAAATAAGTTCGAGTAATAAATAAAAATGAACTTCTAAATAAAAATCTGTTCTACCCCACTTTTGACATTAAAAAAATTTGTGCAACTTTTGTCGGGAGCCGTTCACAAGCATGTCACATACCGAGTACAACTTTTGGGGGTTTTTTGATCAAATGTGAGTGGCATCTAGAATGATCTTTTTATATAATTACATTATCTCTAAATCCACATTTAAAATGTGATTTTTCTCACATTTTTTATGAAAATATTTTCTTTGTTTGCAATATACCCACTTATTTAATCCTACAAATACACCAAATTTTATAAAATGAGCATGGACCTTAGTCCGCGAAATTTTTTTTTCTTTATTTATCAAAATGTATGCTCATTTTTTGGCAGAAACAACTACTCCGTATAAATAATGTTCATGACCAACTGAGCAACAAAGTAATCAAGGGAGAAAAGACTCCCAAACATGATTGAGATTAGGACTGTGCATTATTCGGTCCAAACCCGGACCGACCCGAAGACCGGCCAAAACCGGACCGGACCGGTCCGGACCGGCCCTAATTCGGTCCGGTCTCCGGTCCATAAATTTCTGTTATTCGGGTTCCGGTCCGGTCCGGTCCAAACCCGGTGAGACCGGTGGACCGACCGGTGGACCGGATATATCATTAAGTTATGGGCTTTGGGCTTTAGGGCTTAATTTATATACCCACTAATGTCAATATCCAATAATCCAAGTCCATTAGTCCAGTAGCTCATCCATTTACGCAATCCCCAAAGAAAAAACCAAATCGCCAAGTCGCATACTCGCACTCAGTCGCCGACCGAAGATAACAACCCTACCCACTGCCGTCTGCCGATTGCGGAAGAAAACTCAAAGGACACGGCCGACACGCACAGTACAGACGCACTCACGCACCGGCGCAGCGCAGCAGGCCGGTTCTCCGGCAATCGCAGGTTCAGCAGTCGTCCACTTCGTCCGGCGTCCGGCCTCCGCACTCCGCAGCAGAGGTCATCATTCTTTGCCTTCTCTTTTTGCTCATTAGCTACAGACTGACTCTGCCTAATTCTCAACTTGTGGTTGTTTGTATTGACTATTGATTATGGGACTTTTTGGAATATTGAAGTATGTTATTTGGAGCATTGGAGTAATGGAGTATATTGTTTTCCAAAGAAACTACCATTCCCCCCTTATTCGGGCCGGTCCGGACCGGTCCAGTTTTTTTCGGTCCGGTCCCGGCCCGGTCTTACACTTTTTCGGTCCAGTCCCCGGTCCATTAGTTTGCCCTTATTCGGTCCCGGTCCGGTCCGGGTCGATCCGGGTTTGGACCGATGCACAGATTGAGATACACAACAAAAGGCAAGAACATAGATAAGCTTTCCCGTGTGTACTTTTAAGTGTTAAGAGGGTACAAAAAGGGAAAATAAACATGAAAAACTGGAATATAAACACGAAGAAACAGCAAGTATAACATATACAAGAAAATGTTAGTTTTGCAACAGAAATATAGCAACAAACATTTTTCCGTTGCGACACTGCAACGGATATTAATTTTGCAACAGAACTATTTTGCAACGGTATTATTTGCAACGGTATTATTTGCAACGGAGAGTTAATTTATCTGTTGCAATTATGGCGGGAGTTTGGCGCCTTTTCCAGGAGCGTTCTGCAACTGATTTTTGCAACGGATTTTCCATTGCAGAAAATTTGCAACAGATTATTCAACTTTTGCAACGACATAACGAGTTGCGTTAACTCCGTTGCAAAAAAATATTAAAACTAAAAAAACCAACACAAATGTTATTAAAACTAAAAGTATGAAACTAAAAGAAATTTAAAAAACTTTGAAAAAGGTAATTGAAATATTTTAAAAAAACTAATGAGCGGTTTATTAGGGAAGTTTTTTTACCACAAGTCATCATCATTTCATAAAAATAGATAGTCACGTATTTCACTTCATGTTTTGTAGAATTTATTTTGAAAGTTTTTAGTGTATAAATTTCATTTTTCAATTGTATTCCTATTATACAATCAAATAAATTCAACCGAAACTAAAAAAGAGAGACAAATCATTTGTACTCTTTAAATTTTTCATTTTTGACTTGGGTGAGATTTAATTTTATAGTTTGATTTTTTAATTATACTCTTATTATCGAAGAAAAAAGATAGACAAATCATTTAAATGACTTATTATATCAATGAAAATTGAATGAAGTATATTGTAAAAACTTAATTTAGATATATTAGCAATTAGATGAATTTTTGCTATTATATATTAAGGTTGTTACTATTATGAATTTTGTTTATTTATTAGATGAATTCCCCCCCCCCCATGAAGTCTTCCGTGGCTCCGCCACTGGGTCCAAGGGGTAGAGTTCAAAACAGAGTTCAAAACAAATACTTCCTCCGTCCCTAAATATTTTCAACACTTTCTTTTTCCGCAATCGTGGAAACTTTTGTTTATTTCTACGTTTTCATTGGTTATTTGATAAAATAAAATATTCTTGACACCTTATTTCGAAGAACGTTTCATGTAGTTTTTTTATACGTAATTTTTTGAATTTCTATACCGATATGTAAATAAAATGAATTGAAAAAAACTTGATATTTTACCTCGATAATAGAAGTGTGACAAATATTTAGGGAAGGAGAGCGTTTTAAATTTATTGAAAACTCTTTAAAAAAAATAAAAAAACACTAAATTAAAAGAAAACTTTCTTTAAAAAAAGAAGGAAAAGAAAACTAAAAAGAAGTAGCGGCTTTAAAAAATGTGACAAAACCCTCCCACTACCCGTAAACTGACTCTCACGCTTCATCTCTCTTCAGCGACGCACATCCAAGAGCGAGCAAGAAGAACGGCGATTCAATCAGGCTACAATAAGAACTACTCAAAATTTGTGGATTCTCTTCCTATCAAGGTTAAGGTGAGTAAATTGTTATCTGATTTCGCCTCCTTTTTTAACCGAGTTTGTTCTGATTTGTGTGTGCGTTTGTTTTTGTCTAAAATCTGATGCTAGGGCATTGGTGGGTTTGGGATGTGAATAAATCGGGATTGGTTGGTTTTAGCTGCGAATGGGAAGGCTGGGGGATTGGGTATTGGGGGTGCCGATTGGGTTTGCTGGGTGGAGAAACATGGGGATTTACCATGGGGAGTAAGTTGTTATCATATACGGAGTATATACTATAGTTAGACTGTTTGATTTTTTCCTTAATCTTGATATTTATATTGACTACTATGGTACATGATTGTGTACATGATTGTGATTACACAGAGTGCCTCTAGGGTTATCAAAGAATCTTTTCACTTAGGCCTCAATCTGGAGGGGAGCTTGTGGTCCGGTGTAACACCTGAGTCATTGAGCTTTTACTGAGAGGAATTCAAGGTTTGTTAAATGTAGTTTTGATGAAATTATTTCATGATGTGTTTGTAAACAACCTATTGACTCTTTGAGTGTCATAAACTTTTGTAGAAACATTGTAAGTGGCCCTCTAACCTAACAGAGGATGCGATTGTGGACGCGTTTCTGGAGCTTTGTCTTTCAATTTCTTATAGCTTTGTGCTCTAGCCTGTAAGATATCCTCCCTCATAACCTCAGATGGTCGGGTGTTGGCCATCGTATTATGTATGAACAACATCATTTTTGTCCCTCAAAACCAGGCTGTGTAAAGTTGTCTTGGTTCCAATATCTTGCATAGTAGCAGCACCAGACCTGTTTGAGAATACCTTTGCCAAGACTAAGTCTTTTGGGATGTGAAGGTCAACAATTTCAATGGCAAGGGACAACTGAGATATAATCTAAAACTTATTTTTTTTCATCGAACCAGACTCACTATCAAATTTCTAATATAGTCATGTCCGGATTAAATTCTTGTGTGGTAATATTACCAAAAACTTATAGAGTCAGTGATCAGCATATTGCAAGCATGACGTGCAAACTATTTGTTATTATCTAGTTAAGTTGAATGTATTCAATGGACATATTTGATAAAAATGTTTTTTGATGTTTACTTACAGGATTGGGAGATTGGGAGACTGATGAATCCAAAAAAATCAGAACATGGAAAAAAATAGGCAGAAAGGTGGCCTAGATAAGTGTGCAACAAGAACATATATTGGGTGTTCCCTGTCATTTCGAGAAAATCTCACCAATGCAGTAAGCACTAATAAGTATAAATGATAATATTAGCTTCATATGTTAATTGTATATAACATGTCAACCTCAATTACTTAATTAAAGCTATATGCAGATAGAGATGGGAGGTGAGAAACGAGATACATAAATCGTTTGGAGACCGTATTCCTTGTAGAGAAGACGAATCAGATGGTGATGGAAGTGCGCATGTATCTTAGTTAATGGTTAATTTTTTTAATGTGCAAGAATATAAAAGATATTATTATTCAGATGTTTGACATGTACATGAATGTTATTTTGTTTTATTTAAATTAAAGTAATGAAACTTTAGATTTACTGAATACATATGTGTTTGAGAATGTTTGAGTATCCCCTGTTGATTGTGTATAGAATTGAGTATTCCCTAAACAAGCGGTGTGTGGTAGGTTTTCTAATTTTTGCTATAGAGCACATTCTGTTGCGGTCGATACGTTACCAAATTCTGTCGCGATTGTTTTTTTTGTGGCAAATATTAGCAATGGAGTTGCTCTTGCTCTTTTTCCGTAGCAAATGTTTACAACGGAAAATATAGTTGCAAATTTCTGATGCAATATGTTGCAACGGTAATACCGTAGCAAACTGTGGCAACACAATGAGTGTTGCAGTTATTCCGTAGCAACAATGTGCAACGGCAATTCTGTTGCAACAATCTGATGCAACAATCTGTTGCAGAAGTGAAATTGCAACAATGGTTTTTGCAACAGCACAACTGCAACGGAAATCCCGTTGCAATCACCATTAGCAACGGAAATATTTAAAAAGTGCAATAGAAATTGTCGTTGCAATTACGCCATATTCTTGTAGTGATATATGGCCTTATTAATTAACTATTAAAGAAGATTGGGCACAAAAGGGCAAACTTTGCACTTTGCCACCAAAGCCTCAGCTTTGGGCATAGTCAAACCAGTTCCTTCCCTCATATCCACCATCTCACTCCCAATTCTTTCCCAGTCAAAGCACTGTATCAATGACCCTAACGAGAGCCCGACCATGCACCAGGCAAGTCCTTCCCCAGGGCACCGTCTCCTTCCAGAACCGAACGGCATCATCTTGTACCCAACTCTGGCTCCTTCGACCCCTTCGAACCTCTCTGGTTTGAACTTCTCCGGTTCGTCCCAATACTTGGGATCTCTTTGGATGGAATACAGGTTCACCATCAGCATTGTGCCCTTGGGAATGAGGTAGCCACCCACAGTGCACTCGGTGGAGGACTCGTGAGGGACTAACAGAGGACCAATTGGGTACATTCTCATTGTCTCCTTTATAATGCAGTTGAGGTAGGGGAGGTTGGCCAAATCTGATTCATCGACCAGTCTGCCTTGTCCAACTCGATCTTCAAGTTCCTTCTTTGCCTTAGCCAGGACTTCGGGGTGGTTTAAGAGAAGTGATAATCCCCACTCCATAGTCCCAGAAGATGTGTCTGTCCCTGCTTCTAAGAGATTCTAATAATTCAAACACAACAACAAAAACACTAGTATTTGTTAACACCTCCATTCATTTCCATTTATTCATACTCAGTATTTGATTTATGTGAGATAGAAAAGAGAAAACGCTAGATATGCAATATGAATTTCAAAATTATTTGTCCACTGCTCTTATTCTAGTTTTCAAGGGTTGAAAATAATGTTCATGTTTCTGTTAATGTCTACTATATCAACTGAAACCGAACCAAACAAAGTCAAAATAGTCAAAAAAAAAACAAACCGCCGATAATCGACCTAAGCAATTTTGGTTGGTGGTTTCATGTTTATGCAATAAACAGCAGACGACAAACCGATAAAAATGAGCCAAAACCAACTTAAATTAGCCCAACTCGAACGAACTTAAATGAACCGCTATTTACGGACACTGCAATAAAAATAAAGAAGCAAAATGTGCACAGCATTATATGCAATCAATAACATTTATGAAAGTTAAAAAGTTGATTTGAAGTGATGCCAAAATAAAATGTGTGCAGGCTCACTTACCAGCATGAGGCTTCTGATCATTTCATCATTGTAAGTCTCGGGTTCCTCTTCTTGCAGTGTCAGCAGCACCTCCACAAATGGTTTCGTCTTTCCGGCACTAAATGCGGTCTTCTTCATTCTATTCCTGCAATGCTTGATCATCTCCTGCATGAAAGCTTCCCTCTTCTGATGCAGCTCCACCAAGTCACTCTCCAACCTCCTCATCAACACCTTCAAGACCGGCACAAAGTCGCCCACATTCGTCGCCCCACCGAGCAGAAAAGTCCCTGTCACAATCTCCCTGAACTGGTTCGCCTCTTCCTTGTCCCCCGCCTTCTCTCCATAATACATTTTCCCTGCAATCATCCTCATCATCACGTTTGCCGTCAGCTCAAAAAACACGGTCTTCATTTCGACCGGAGTGCTGGATTCGGAGACCAGTTGGAGCCTTTTCAGCATGGAATTCACCTCATCCGCCCGAATTTCATGGAGCGTTTGGACGCGGTTTAGGGAGAAGATGTGTGTGGAGGCAATTTTGCGGATATGCCGCCAGTGGTCTCCGCGGGCGGTTTGCGAAGACCACGTCGTTCTTAGAGAAACACTCCTCTGCGGCGGTAGGGGTGGCAACCAATAGGACTTTCCGGGAACCAAATTCGAGGAGGAGGACGGGGCCATAACGGGCGGAGATGCTGGCTAAGGCTTGGTGCAGAGGATTCTTGAAGAGGTAGAGATGGCCGAAGACAGGAAGGGCGAGGAAGGGGGCCGGCGGGTGGTTCTTGATTTTCCGGTGGAAGTGTTTAGAGATCAGGTACAAAGGTAAGAGGAGGAGGAGGGCTATGGACAAGAAAAGGTTACCGTCCATCGTCATATTGTCGTAAACACAATCCAAATTCAAGTGTTTGGGTAGGACTTATACTCGGTGGTTGGCAATAGGCAAACAACATTATTTGGTTCTTAGTCTTCCAATGCCTGGTGATCTTTTCAAGCAAATTATTGGCGTAGAAAGGTCCACCAAGGCACAATCACCATCAATAATAGATGAATACCAGGAAGTAGTTCAACCAATAGAATACTAGAATGCCATGTCCTTTTCAACACTAAATGAAAAGCAGTAAAGCACATAAGAGTTCACTTGCCAAAAGATGTGGTGAAAAACCAGTGAACTACACTATATAAACCCCATCACACAAGAGTCCTAAGAAAACCTTTTGACACTCACACAATCTCAAACAACACACATACTGATATGCACCTAATAGCCCACACAGAAAGAGTGCCTCCCCCCAGGAGAAGATAAAATCACTACTGGTTCTTGAAAATCCAGAAAAGAAACAAGATGAGTGGGAATAACTCTTTATACTTTCAAATTGTTCTTGATGCCTCCATAACAATATAATCATGACTGACTTTTAGCTAGACATATTCTGCCAAAAAGCACTTTAAAACTGACCTTCTCCCTAATACTTAAAAAAGGAGACAAAAGGCGTCCAGCTTGTTTTTAAAAACAGCAACCAGAGTTTTAACAATACCTTGAACATGGAAGTATTATCTCATTTAGGGCTCTCGTTTGGCATCCGCGTTAGAGGTTAGCGTTTTGAAAAAAGTTATCTGACGCTAGCCTTTAGCGTAAGCGTTTTCAGAAATTAATCTACACCATTAAAAGTTTATCCAAAAGACTAACGCTAATCGAAAATGTTGTTCCCAGACAAGACCTTAATCAACCCAAACGACAGTTTGGAAATCAGTAAGCCAACTCTATCAAGAGTAAATAGATAACTTTGTAAAACAAGAGCCAAGGATTAAATCTTTCAGACAAAGTCATAAAGATGGCATAAACTAAATTTACAACAACCAGAAGTTTAAGTTAGCAAATTGGTACCGCTATAAGTTAATCTACCTACTGCTTAAATAAGTTGATAATGGTTGAGGCATAACATTTTACCAAAGGCTCCAGATTAATTAGAATATAATCTAGAATATAGAATACCCTACTGACAAATACAACACCTACTGGCATCGATTGGTGGAATTCACTAGGAATCAGAGTAGATAAACTTGCCAAGATGAACACTCAAACAATTAGACACCTCATATGATATTCAAGTAGAAACTAAGGATCTTCTGAGAAAATATTTTGACAGAATTCCGAAGACCCTCAGACACTGGAAGGATTTACCTTGGAAGGGATTCCCCTGAACATGTGAATCAAAGTTAATAAATTCAAATCCTGAATATATAAGAAAAAAATGATGCTAGTTCAACACTTAATCAGATCACCATTTAGAAATATTTAGACAAAATCGAAGGTTAGCATAGACGAACTGAAGTAAAATCGAAATCAAATCAAGCTCCACTGATTGAGCTTAGTAGGTAAATCCTAGGTCCGAAATCACCAATGCGGACAAATTCTGAAATTCATAGACTCTTGGTCTGAGAAATTCAAATTTCCGCCCGCATTTGTAAGGGATATAGAACGGAACCGACACATTAGAAAACGAAGGGGATTTCGGATTCCGGCTGGACATGTTTCTGTATCTTTTATCCTTTATTTTTTAAAAGTCTACTGTATCATATCATATATTTTTTCTATTAATCTACACATCACATCCTACTTTACTCATTACATTAGAAGTATTTTTGGAAAATTATCCCTCTTTATTTTAACACTTTAATCAAATCGTCCCTATCTATATGGAACGTAGGAAGTATGTGTTACGAAAATATGATATTTCAAAACCAAACCTAAAAATTAATATTGATTTGAAATTTATATCACAGTTTATTATTTCTTTATTGATTTATGATCAAAAATTTAAAATGTTGATTAAATTCAAATGAGAAAAAGGAAGATGAGGGAGTAATTGGACTGTAATTATGTGAATATATATAGAGACTTTTGAGGTTATATAGTACTCCTTTCATCCCAAAAAAAATTTTCACATTTCAAAATAAATCGTATTCCCAAAAGTCTTTTTCATTTCTATTAAAAAACAACTTTAACCCCTTGCTTTTTCATATTCTACTTGTAACATCATACCCTTTTCCTAATAATCAACACATCACATGCTACTTTTACCCATCACATTAAAGGTATTTTTGGAAAATCAACACAAAATTATAGTATCTCCCTTATTTTACCACTTTAGCTAATATGTCCCTATGGATGGAGGGAGTATATATATACGGAGTGTGTGTGTGTATCAAAACAGTTATTTTTATTCAATTAATTTTACCAAATATATTTAACGATCAGCTAACTCATTCTGCCAGTCAAATCAATTAAACTAAACAACTATTTAAAACAGCTGATCCAAACAGCCAACAGCTGAGTGTCAAAATCCAAACAAGGCGTATATATCCAACGAGCTAAAGAAAAAACCAAAGAAGCGCGAAAGAGAAATGATCCACCACGAACGAAGCACCCTTCGCCATTTATTCACTTCCAGCCTCTATAAAAAAATCTCCACATTAAAAAAAGTTCAGATTTAATTGGGCGAAGCTGGATGGTTGGGCAATAGGGTGGTGGAAGCTTGGAACATAAGGGTTCGAATTCCTACGTCTAAAGTTTTGAAAACTTTAACAACAAAAAGTGGTTGGCGGTTTAACCGGTTTTATCCGGTTCCAGCCGGTTCGTTGTTAGTGGCGGTCTGAAGGGCTGGACCAAACCGATTTGGCATCCGATTCGCCGGTTCTCGATCCAAACCGGCCGTTCCAGTCCAGTTTTTAAAACTATGCAACCTACAACGCTAACCCTTTTTTAATATTATACTCCCTCCGTCCTATAATGATCTTCCCGGTTCGCAAAACGAAGAAAAATCCCAAGTTTTTTCAATCTATTTTATTTAAATATTGGTATAGAAATAAAAAATAAAACATACTCTGTACATATTTAAAAACTACACCAAAAGTTCAACAAAACAAGTGGTGACAAGAATATTTCATTTTATCATATAGGCCATGAAAAAACACAAATAAATATAAATTCCCGTGAAGTTGAAAAGTGCTCTGGGAAGATCATTATAGGACGGAGGGAGTAATTAAGTCTTTTCAACTTGGTTAGAATTTTCTTGTTCAAAATCAAAATTTTCATCCTACTCCGTTCCACCAGCGCGATATAGGGGTGCGGGCAGCACAACTATGTTGAATCGCCATGGCTTTAATCAAGCAAAGAAGAGATGATTATCTATCTTGATCGTCCATCCTCTCAACAAGATGAGAATACAAAATATGAAGAAAAAAATGAATTCTAACGACAAGAACTTCGACCTTGAGAATTCCGAACTCGATGTTGTCATCTGATTTGCAAACTCCGATAATTCACCTGGAGGACTGGGCAACGATTTGAATTAAATATGATGAATAATTACTTGACGTGATATACGTAAGATGTTGTTAGCCTTTTACGTTTCGACACGATTATATTACTAATAAATTTTCAATGTTTCATACCGCTATTGTCGACAAGTGGATGAATACATTTTTGCTTTCTAATATTAAGACAGTACCAAAAAAGAAAAATAAACATAAAAGTGAAATTTAAACATGAAAGAAGAACAAGTGTACACAATGACATGAAGACAACATTCAAGGATTCAAGTATACAAAGCGACAAGAAGTTCATCCAAGTTCAAATTCCAGCGAGAAAATAGAAGTGGCATTATTATACGGAGTATAATGTAGCGGTAGTCTTTTAGTTAGTCTAGTGACAAAAGAAGATTGGGCACAAAAGGGCGAATCTTGCACTTTGCCACCAATGCCTCAGCTTTGGGCATAGTCAAACCAGTGCCTTCCCTCATATCCACGATCTCATCTCCAATCCTTTCCCAATCAAAGCACTGTATTAACGACCCTAAGGAAAGTCCAACCATGCGCCAGGCCAGTCCTTCCCCAGGGCACCCTCTCCTTCCTGATCCAAATGGCATCATCTTGTACCCATCTGTGACCCCTTCGGCCCCTTCAAACCTCTCCAGTTTGAACTCTTTTGGATCGTTCCAATATTTGGAGTCTCTTTGGATAGAGTACATATTCACCATCAACATTGTGCCCTTGGGAATGCGATAGCCAGCCACGGAGCACTCGGCTGAAGACTCATGTGGGACTAGTAGAGGACCGACAGGGTACATTCTCATTGTCTCTTTTATAGTATGATCGAGGTATGAGAGGTTGGCCAGATCTGATTCGTCAATTAATCTGTCGTGCCCGACGTGATCGTCGATTTCCTTCTTTGCCTTGGCAAGGACTTCGGGGTGGTTTAGGAGGAGTGATAATCCCCACTCCATAGTCCCCGCAGATGTGTCTGTCCCTGCTCCTAAGAGAACCTAATCATTGAATCAAATCAACCAATAAAATTTTCATTAAATTTAATTTTTGGAATAATATTAAATAACTTTAATCATCAATAATAATAAATTTGTGTTAGATATTAATGCAAACAAATAAATTTTGAAGGTTTTTCATCAAATAAACATAATTAAATTATTTGTGTACTAATATAAATTTATTTAATTGATAGTCATTCCTACACCGATATTGTCAATTTGGACTGTGATATAGCACAAAGGAAAGACACCCCAATAAATTATTTATTAAGGTGGGAGAATCTTTGACGATATAAACCTATCACCAAGTCCCTCATTTGATCGATGTGGGACAATTAAATCAGACTGTAACATTTGACCCCTCATAAGACCCAACGACGTCTTTGGTCACGGCTGGTTTTTTCTTGTCACCACTCCATATACCACTACTCCGAGTTGGCTCTGGTACCACTCATACAACATAAGAGATAGTCACACTCCAAAAGCTATATATTAATGTGAGAGAACCATTGACTTTATAAACACATCACCACGTCCCTAATTTTATCCCTGTGGGACAATGAAATCAGGCCGCAGGAGACTGTAAAAAGCTTATTTAGTTTTTGGCACCTGTTCCTTTAATTTTAGTCCTCATCGTCAAACTTGGTTGCTCATTCCCTAGCATCTGCATCTAGGGGTGGACATAGGCCGGTCTGAGCCAAGATTTGTATAAACCGAACTCGGCTTGTTTTTATTAAAACGGTCTGGGCCGGAACGGGTTTTCAAAATTTTAAAATTGAAACCGGACCTAACCCGACTTGTTTGAAACGGGCCGATTTCACGGGTCAACGGGTCTGAATCTATCACGATACTAATATTAAAAAATAGGCAAAATTGACAAGAATACTCCCAGAAATTACAGATTTTACATAAATACTCCCAAATTTGTTTGTTTACATCATTACTCCCACATTATTCTTTTATTTACATCATTGCACCCAAATTTGATAGTGAACATTAGTGTTACTTGAATGCGTTTTTTTTGCGCTAAGTGAGTAGTTAAAATGCAGATATGTATTTTTTTCACTATAATATAACAAATTCACCTCAAATTATTCTCTCCATCGACTTTCTCATGTCTTAGTAAGCCTAATCATTGCCCTTATTTCCATCACTTTTTAAAAAAAATTTAGATTTCAAACTTCCTAAATGTTTTTAATGTTTAATATCAAGTGTGTTCATATTAATTTAATTTGAATTCAATAAAAAAACAATGAAGAACCCCGTTTAAAAAGACGCATCCGAGGAACACTGACGATGAAGCAATCGCGGAGTAATGACGTAAATAACAGACAAATGTGAGAGTAACTATGTAAATAAATAAATTTGGGAGTATTTATGTAAAAACTGAAATTTCTGGGAGTATTCATGTGAATTTTGCCTAAAAAATAAAGTGACACTCCCTCCGTCCGGAAATATTCTTCACATTTGACTTTTCTTGGTCAAAGTTTATAAACTTTGACTACAATTTGTGGAAAAAACACACTGTATTATGATGTAAATTTAATATCAATATATTCATAATGAAACGTAGTTTTCAAATATCAAATTTTTATAAAATATATCTATGTATAAATATAGATATTAATGGTCAAAGAGCAATATTGAAGACCGTGAAAAGTCCAATGAGAAGAATATTTCCGGACGGAGGGAGTAATAAATTAATATTACATAGATGGTCATCCACCATTGCTCCACAACAATGTACTACCCCATTGTCAATTTTAAGTCATCCAACACAAAAAAGAGGCCTAAATGAAGACAAAACAATGACAAAGAGGGGCATAACCGTAAAGTGTACAAGAGGGGCCTGACAGTAAAGTTTACACCCCCATGATCATCCAACAACAAAACAAAAGAACATAACCACATTCTGGCATTATAACTCGTAAGGCTTTGTTCCCGGTGTAATTATTAATAATAATACGGTGTATTAAAAAATGGTCCAGTCCGGGTCCTGGACAATTTCAAAATGGAGAACCGGATCGACCCAAAAAAATCTATAAGGACCGGACTGACCCGGCCCTTTATAAATATTTGAAAAGATGACTCGCTCCTAACTCGGACCGAACTTGTCGGTTCGGTTCCGACTCACGGTTCCTTGACCCTTTTACCCACCCCTATCTGCATCTCATGGTCAATTCTTTAAGGTGTATTGGGATTCTTTCCCATCTAATTTTGTTCCCCTCCATATTTAATGAAATTTGATTTGGTTTTAAAAAAAATCACTCCCTTCATTTTTGCTTCTCTCTGTTTCATTTTGTGTGACAAGGGTTTGACTAACTATATATAAAAATATCTAATGAATTAAAATATAAAAATCATACCAAAATATATATAGGTATCAAAAAATACTTTAAATATATTATTTTTAATATTTTGTTGCTAACATATTTTAAGAGATATTATTAGCTAAATTTTAAGTTCGAAAAATAACCGCACAGTTAAATAGGAATGGAGAGAATATTTAATTCAATTTGGGAGAATTTACTAAATAATATTCCCTCCATCCCAAAAACTTCTTCTCTTTTTCTTATCCCACAAAATACTTCTCTTTTCTATTAAAATACTACTTTTACTCGTACTAATTCTTAACCTACATATCAAATCATATTTTTTTACTACTCCCTCCGTCCTATATCTTTCTTCCCAAAGCACTATTCTAACTTTACGGGAATTTATATTTATTTGTGTTTTTTCATAGCCTATATGATAAAATAAAATATTCTTGTCACCACTTTTTTTTGTTGAACTTTTGATGTAGTTTTTAAATATGTATGTTTTATTTTTTATTTCTATACCAATATTTAAATAAAATAGATTGAAAAAATTTAGGATTTTTCTTTGTTTTATGCCATGGGCCGAGTAATAAACTTTGAAAGGAGTAATATAAGTGTATGCTGACTTACTAGCATAAGGCTTTTGATGATTTCATCCGTGTAAGCTTCGGGGTCCTCTTCTTGCAGGGTCAGCAGAACCTCCACAAATGGTTTCGTCTTTCCGGCGGATTCCCCGTCGCTACTTCCGGTGGACTTCTCCATTCGATTCCGGCAATACTTGATCATCTCCTGCATGAAAGAGTCTCTCTTTTGTTGCAGCTCTACCAAATCGCTCTCCAACCTCCTCATCAGCACCTTCAACGCCGGCACGAAGTCTCCCACATTCGTCGCCCCGCCGAGCCGGAAAGTCTCCGCCACGATCTCCCTGAACCGGGTCGCCTCCTGCGCTTCCACCGCGTTCTCGCCGTAATACCTTTTCCCTGCGATCATCCTCATCATCACGTTCGCCGTCAGCTCGAAAAATACGGTCTTCATTTCGGCAGGGCCGCCCGATCCGGAGACCAATAGGAGCTTTTTCAGCATGGACTTCACCTCATCCGCCCGAATTTCGCGCAGACTTTGGACACGGTGGGTGGAGAGGACGTGTGTGGCCGCGATTTTACGGATAGTCCGCCAGTGGTCGCCGTAGGGTGCCCAGGCGAGGGAGGTATAATTGTACCCTAAATATTTTCCGGCCATGAGAAGTGGGCGATTCGCGAAAACGACGTCGTTCTTCGACAGACACTCCTCGGCGGCGGCAGGGGAGGCGACCAATAAGACTTTCCGGGAGCCGAATTCGAGTAGGAGGACGGGGCCATAGCGATCGGATATGCTGGCTAAGGCTCGGTGGAGAGGCTTCTTGAAGAGGTAGAGATGGCCGAGGACGGGAAGGGTGAGGAAGGGGGCCGGCGGGTGGTTCTTGATTTTCCGGTGAAAGTGTTTGGAGATTAGGTACAGAGGTAAGAGGAGGAGGGCGATGGACAAAAACGGCGTGAGGAGAAGGTCACCGTCCATTGTCATATTGTACAGATTACAATCCAATTTCTAGTCAATCAAGTGTTTCTTTTGGATTTATAGAAAAAATATACTCTACTTTTTCACTAAAACTATTTCAAAATAGGAGGAATATCTTTTATCTCAAAATAAAATATCTATTAATTACATTCAAAAAAATATTATTTGTTAAATATAGCAGATATATTACTCTTATTATTTAGAATATTTAGTTACCTTGTTTACCTAGACTTTACCTCCTCCCTGTGTATGTATAAATACCCTGACATATATGATGAATAAAGTACTCAGTTCACAACAAGTTACTAAAACCCTAATTTTATTTTTCCTCCTCCGCAGCCTCAGGCCACATCGCCGCCTCCTTCGTCTTCCTTCCTCTTGCCGAACGAGGAAATCAAATAAGTCAGGGAGATTGCCGGAAACCAACATCACCATCATCACGATTCATCAATCTTCTTCGTTCCTCTTTGCCGGTCGAGCATAGGACCAGAGAGGAAGCTGCGCCAGAGGAGGAATTCGCCGGACGTCGCCGGGAATCATTGCCGGAAAGTTTTATCTTCGCTAATCGAGCCTGCCGTGATCCACCGTGTAGCTTGTCTTCTTCTTCACGTGAGATCGATTCGGCTTAAAAGTTCGATGAAGATTAGATCTGTTCATTTTAAGCCGCCCTGATTCCTTTGCCGGTGCCAAACAAGCCGAGTGATGGTTCCAGCATATGATAGCTCCAAAATCCAAAATTGGATTGAATTGATCAACTCTAACGATGTGAGAATATATGTCTCCTTGGTCACTAATTCGATTCAAGTAATTTTCTTCTCACACGGTCCAGGTATTTCAAAATTTCAGCATCTTTGCATTTTAAAATTGCATGTTTAATTGCTTGAAATTGCAAACAAAAATATAGATTAGAGGACACTTTTAAATCTGATTGGACATTAAAATGGTTTAATTCATTTTTTTTATTGAATGAGCACTGTATGTTACTCCGTATTTGATTTAGTAGTTAATTAACATTGAGTGTCTAATCAGATTTTGAAACTAGATGATTGATGCTTCTGAACTTGAATAATTAAGATTGCATCTTATAAACCACTTTTTTCTCCTTCTGAACATAGATTTGTACACAGTAAATGACAATATTTATACATGTTTGAAAATAATCTTTTTATTAAGGCAGAATTGATTAGTACATATGTTCTTGGATTTTGAATGAGGACATTCTTTGCTAGATATTTTGAGTTAAATGATGTTAGCCTTGCATTTTGACTAACAGTAATATCATGAATGTTGATCATATATCGGTTAGACGGTTGGAGTATGTTTTATTGAGCATATACATTGACTAGTTAGACCTAGAAATGCTTTTGTGATTGTTGGACCCGTGGTCATATACGTATAAATTTAGAACTATTGCTTTTAAAAGCTGTGATTGTATACAAGCATGGATATAGGTGCTCATGTGAGAAAAAAAATACATATTTATTCTTAGATCACAAAAGTGATAAATATTTTGTGCTTTTGTATGTTCATGACTTATAAAAGAGGATTTTCAAACGAAGTATCAAATGAAGTATCCAGGAGTTTAGTGTATGTGTAAATTAAGATACCATAAACAGAAATGGCATTTAGATTTCTTTGGATATGCATCATTATAAATACGATCATTATTACTCTCGATATGCATCATTGTAAAATGGTAGCTTCATTCATATTTTGTTTTGAACAAAAAAAATGCATTCAAATATGCAATTATGGATTATCTCTGTTGTTGATGCTAAGGGAACGAAAATGTGCATTTTCATACTCTATATTTGCCAAGTTTCCACAACTCATGCTATGTGATTCCCTAGCTAATTTTTGATAAAGGCAAAATTTTGGATCATTCACTTCATATTTTTTTGGCACTATAGATATATTTTACAAAAGTGTTAAATTTTGTCCTTAAAGTGAATCAAATTTGATATTTATTCTAAATGTCACATTCTCTAGCAGAGAATAAAGAAATAGAGTTTTTTTAATGCATTTACCACTTCCCAGAAGTTAAATGGCCTAATGATTTTTTTAAAAAATAAATTGTTCAATGCATTTTCTCTCCTTATGCAATGATAGTATACTTTAATGTCATATACTAAGTTGCGATAAAGTTTGTGTGACCAATATATGCAATTGCATGTTATATGTGGTTTGAGAATACAAAATAGTGTTTGAGAATTTAATTTCCTCTAAAGTGGTAGTGTAAGAAAAAATTCATATACTCCATATTTGGTTACATTTTTTTCTCATTGTTATGAATGATTTTTTTTTTTTGAAAAAAAATCATGTTACATATTCATTCTCTGAAGTGAGTGAAAAATTGATTGACATCCATGAATATAATAGGCTATCACAACTATTGTGGTTATACATATGGACACATCAAAGTCACTATTCTGGTCACATAGAATTACATTTTTTAAAAAATATTGACTATTTGAATCTAAATATTCCTGAAGAATATTGAATTCTGAAAAGAAATTCTTAAGATGTATAATCTCCTAATTAAATAAGAGTCATTATGTTCATCAAACACAATATATAGGTATATGAAACACTACCTAAGGTCTTATAATATTTAATTACCACCTGAAGTGGTTTATTTTTAGTAAAAATAAAATCTCATTATAAAGACACGTTTTGATATTTCAAGACCTTAGTTCTAATCTATATATGATTCCTCATCAATATTCTTGAAGAATGATGTAGTAAATATATTATAATCAAAGGAGTGATTATACATGTTATATTTTTTTAGATGTAAGAGATTATTTTCCCTTGTGATAAAAGAAGTTATATAATTTTCTTGTGATACAAAACTAACAGATAGCTCCAGAAGAGCATTGCATAGTAAGAGCTGCATAATAGAAGTAATAAAAGTCTCATAAATATTGAATATTTTTTAGAGTAGTTATTATCCTGCATTGACGAATATTCTGTTGGGTATAGACAAACCCTTATTGTTTAGGGTGTCTCTATTAATGTTTAAGATACCAGTAGAAATGAATATTACATGACACTTGATCGAAATTTGTTTTCACGTAAACCAAAAATTTACAGAACCAATTTTTATTTTAAACATAACCAAATTAAATTATCACAATTTAGTTTGTGACGTGAAAAAAAAATCATTAAAAACTCAAGTGAGTACTATCTGAAGGACTAGAAGTTTCTGTTATTATTAGGACCAGAAGATCCTAGAGTCTTGTTCTCATTAGAAGATTATTATGAGATTATTACTAATGAAACTTGAGATTCATTTCATACATATTTAGAAATTGTTCAAGAATAATTGATTGGGCCCATCAACTATTCGTGATGACAATTTATATGTTTTATATAATGCATCGGTATATTTGTCATATTTGTTGACAATTATCTCGTAATCCAAAGTTTATGATATTTGTCCATATATTATATTATGGACACAATTTATAGGTTATGTTGAACATCATTAGTCACAAAAGAGCCTGCAGCTCTAGTTAATATGCAAAGTGCATCGAAATAGTGGCTATACTTTTGATTATGAGAACAAATCATTTTATACTAGATTTTGAATCTTCATTTATGTGGTAATTATTTGGAGCGGATGCTTAATGGGCTTAAATTAAGATAAATTATCAAGATACCACAATGGTAGGTAGACATTGAGGGAAGGTTTTTGAAGGAGTTGAATGGAAGATAAATTCCATGACACATGCTAGATTATATATATTCTTCAATTAAAGAAGATGTGAACCTGAAGTTCAAGAAAGAAGATTGTACTAAGATTTTTGCAAATAAAGTGCTCATCATGAATTTTATGTGTCAATTGTAAATACTTTAGTTAGAAGTGAATTCTTGATATTTTTCTCAACCATAAAAAAATGGTCTTATTATAAGGAACCTGTAGTTCCAACATATGAGAACCTGAAGTTCTCCTTCACATGTATTATATAAACACATGTTCATTTTATTAATCCTTCCCTATAAATAAAATGTCAAATATTCAAAATTTGAATTTCTTACACTTGATGTCTCTCGATGAGAAACAAGTTTGTCCCTTCTGACAATATTTGATTGTGTGTCTTATATGCCCCCTCCCCTACAATGCATTCAATATAATGTAGAAGACTGTGTATTGGCATTGGCTATAACTCCTCGTCTGTTGTTAAATGTTTAGAGTTTTTGACAGGAGATATATTTACAACAAAGTAACTTGATTGTCAATTTTATGACAAAGTATTCCCAGTCTTAGGGGGAGACAAGAATAATGAAAGACTGGTAATACAAGAAATTATATAAAATGCATCATCATTGTAAGTTTTGACTCCTGAAGTGGTTAATGTAATTTTGAAGTCTGATTTGCAAAGAAGAGCAAATGAATTACTAGATGCATTCTCATATACGAGCAGAGTGACAAAGTTACATATACCAGCATCTTATGCATCGCTCGATTTAAGGTAGTCCCAAAAGTGACTATTGTACAATGAAAATGGGAGAATAATCAGTTCAAAAGATAAGGACCCACGAAAATGAAAATAGCAAAAAATGCTATTAGTGAAACCACATACATGATTAGAACTGCAACCCCCGAAGAGGACATTGTCCCAGAAGAGACTAATACTATTCTAGAAGAAAATGAAACCCCAGAAGAGGTAAATGTCCTAGAAGAGACTAATATGATTCCAGAAGGATAAGTTTCCTAAAGAAACATCGGTACCGAAAGAAAATGAGATCTATATTAATTATGTACGAGACTGTACAATATGGAACCAAAATGAAACACGTGTTAATGATATTCTTGCATATGCTATGACAATGGATGTAATCAATAAAAGAGATTACATGCCTAAAACTCAAAGAAGAGTACATGTAGATAGTAAACAAATGATTTGCCAAATGGCAAAAGACCCTGAAGGTCGAATATAAGTCACTCGATAAATGGAATATTTTCAGACTTGAAGTCTGAACACCCATAGACGTCAAACCAATAGGTTTAAAATGGGTGTCTATAATAGACAGGAATAAAATGAATGAGATTGTGCGATATGAAGTACTACTTATAAGGCAAGGGTTTTTTCCCTAATCCCAGGAGTTGATTATGAGGAAACGTATTCTCCACTAGTGGATGCAATATCCTTTTAGAATCTTAATTGGCTTCGCAATCTCAAAAGGACTTCAAATAAATGATATAGATGTCGTTATAACAGAATTATAAGGGACACTTGAAATCGACATCTGTGTGATAATAATCCCTGAAGGATTCAAAATGCCAGGAGTAATAAAATTAACACATTGAGATATGTGTGAAGAGATCGTGGAATGGTCTCAAGTAATTTGGTCATATGTGGTACAATTGACCAGTGAATATCTCGAAAAAGAAAGATACAAATTTGAAATCAACCTATGTGGTGTCATTAAAGGATCGCTCTCAATATTCATTATTATAGCAGTTTACGTCGATGTATAAATATCATTAGATCTCCTGAAGAGATAGAAAAAACTGTTAAACTCTTGAAGAGAGAATTTGAGAAGGAAGATCCTAACATGACATAAATTATACTTCAGATTGTATTTTAAACACGTATATGACGGAACATTTATCAATAATTTAAACTACGTCCAGAAGATGTTAACACATTGAAATATGGATAAAGCTCATCTTTTGAACATACCCATGGTTGTTCACTCATATATATACATAAACATTCTAATCGCCTCCCAGAAGAGGGCGAAGAAGTACTTGGTCCTGCAGTACCAAATTTTAAGTGTGAAATTAGACAGGTAATGTGTTCACATATGGTGATACGACTTTTCTTGGAAGTCGACTAAGCGAGCACGAACAACAACATGGAATCAAGCCGAACTGATAGCATTATACGACAGTGATCGAGAGCGAGCATGGTAGAGATTGATGATCAATCTCATATAAGGAGCATGCAGTTTGAAAGAAATCAAGAAGAATGCTACGATTATATATAAAGATAATGCAACATGCATACCTCAAATCAAGGAAGGCTACATCATGGGAGACAGAACGAAGCAAATCTCAGCAAAGTTTTTCTCAACATCTGATCTGCAGAAAGAAGGAGAGATCAATGTTCTTCAAGTTAAATCAAACAAAATTTGGCAGACTTATTCACCAAATCTCTACCTAGACACAATTTTGAGCAACTCAGAAAGAAGATTGGACTTCGCAGGCTAAAAGAGATAAATTAGTTTGAGGGGGAGTATATTTTTATTTTGAAGGAAAATATTATACACGTTGTACTCTTTTTCCCTTAACTAAGTTTTGTCCCACTGAGTTTTCTTAGTAAGGTTTTTAATGAGGCAGCATAACTGATCTTGCAGTATCAGTTAATATAGGTCCAGAAGAACCTAGCCAACATTATCCCGTAGCATAATGTTGTTAGTGTATAATGAATGATGATATATCTGCGGGGGAGTGTTAAATATAGCAGATATATTACTCTTATTATTTAGAATATTTGGTTACCTTGTTTACCTATACTTTACCTCCTCCCAGTGTATGTATAAATAACCTGACATATGATGAATAAAGTACTCAGTTCACAATATTAAATTTAAATTAAAAAAATATTAAATCATCTCGATCCTTATTGTAGGGAGACGTGATTTCTTGATAATAGCTTCTTTATATAGGGAAGAGCTTCATAGGGTTTTATAAGAGAAGACTCATGGGCCAGTACAATTGTATTACACAATATAAAGTAAATTCTATCTACACAACAACACACTAATTTACAAATTCCTTCGACACAAAATCACAAAATTTAAATATTATTATAACAAAACACAAAGAAAAAATGATTTGGACACAATAGCATACCACTGATACGAAGTGGACTTAGAAATAGACTCCCAGTATTTGAAATCGGCAACATCAAGCCGTTTTGGAGTAGCAGTGTTTTTCCAGATATTCCATATCTGAAGATATCAATTCTGAATCTCTGTTTATATTCAGCAAACACATTTTTTTAGATTTGAAATCTCATATATCAAAACTCATATCCGTTTTCTTCCCTACCCTGTGATGCCATCCTTCTTCTTTGCATCGTTACTCCTTTACCATTGTCCTCTCCCTTCTGGCGGTAGTGATCTGGCCTAGGCTCAGCGCGGATCGGAAGAAAATTCTTGTTGTGCGTTGTACGGCTGAGAGCGAGAAATCCAATTTACACATGCTTCCACCATATCTAGACATAGAGGAAATTGGTGGCGAGATTACAGATCGTGCTCTAGAGATCGTGCTTGGACGGTTGCTATAGCATTTGAGCGGGATATTTTTCCTGGTGGTATTGTAAATAGAAGGATATATAAAATCCATACATGGCATATAATATTTTATTAAAAGAAAAGCAATAAAATAAAAAAAACGAATATCTACATAGAAATCACAAAGATCATCAAATAGGGTTTATGCAACCAAAATTAAGGACACACATACCCATCATATATGCATAATGAAGATCTAATGTTATTACGCACAATTGGTAATATAATTGAATAAGAACCTGATAGGAGTATGTGCGGCAGAAGAATGGGGATGGGCTGGGTAGTGGCGGCGATGCTTCAATTTGGAGTCGGTGATTTTGTGTCGAACTTTTTCCGGCACTTCTCTAAACTTAGGCGGCCACTAGGAGCTTTGATTCACTGGCGGAGGTTTCCGCAGGAGGATAATTTGATGGCGGCCAGCGATGCACAGTACTGATAACGTATTGTAGGGAGATGTGATTTCTTCATAGGGTTTTACAAGAAAGCCTCATTGTATTACACAATATAAAGTAAATTTTATCTACACAACAGCACACTAATTTACAAATTCCTTCAACAATCCTCATATTTTTCTATTTTTAGATAAAGACTATATTTTACTTTATTAGAATAAAATTCTTTAAAAGATAATAATAATGGACCATATTTGACCTTTAATTAATTAAAGTGGGAAGGACCTCTTATCGGTTAGTCAAACACGCCGGTTGACCTTTGTGAAAATTGTTCCCCCATTTATCTAGTTGTTATTTACTGGGGCATGATAAATTATAAGGATGGGCCTCATTCCTGAGGGCTCCCTTAAAGGTGGAATGCTCATGTTATTGCCCTTACACCTTGACTCGATTGGACTATGAGGGAGATAAATCATGTTATAATCTTAATCTGGTACTTAGAGAAGTTGTCTCATGTCCAGTGCATACAAAAAGCTATCACAAATAATAAGACTCCCACACTACCGCTGACAGGATTCGAGACATGAGAAATTATAAGCTCAATCAACATGAGTGGGCAAAGAAACTGAACTAACAAGGTACTATATTCGACCGTAATGGTATTAAGGCCCCGTTCCGTTCAACTTATTTTTCTACTTTTTTATTATTCTTATTAAAATCAGATCAGATCAAATCAAATCAGATCGGATCTGATCAGATCCAATCAGATTAGATCAGATTAGATCAGATCACGTCCAATAAGATCAGACCATATCAAATCAGGTCAGATCAAATTAAGAATTATTATTGTTATTATTATTGTTGTTGTTGTTGTTGATATTATTATTATTACTATTATTATTATTATTATTATTCTTAAAAATGAAAAAGAATAAACTTTAGAAACAAGTTAAATATAAAACTCAGGAAGTAATCCTTAATTATTAGACGTCGGAAAAATTATTTTTAAAATACATTGATAATGTCAATCTAATTCTACTTTTAAAACATATTTTTATTGCTACATATAATTTCAGTTTCTAAAGTTTTGATCTTTTACTACATTGAGTTGATCAACTTTGATCATGACTTAAATAAAATTAACATTTGATATTCATATACGGAGTATATTTTAGTGTAACAGAAATAACTATTGTATCTAATGTGTTATATTAATCATAAAAAAAGTTTCGTAGTACAAAGCACACATTGATATTTTATAAGGATGAGATGTTTTAATAAAAATATTATCTCTTCTCTATATTGATTATCTAAATTTAATTACTTTTTAATGTTTATATGAATTAAATATTTATTCTAATGTATATATGAACTAATTATTAAAATATTAAATTAATATTCTTATTTCATAAAAAAATAATCATAAAATAAAAAATATTATTACATTATAATATGAATGATTACTCTAATATATGAATTAACTAATTTTATTTCATTAAAAAATAATCATAAAATAAAAAATATTGATTACTTTATAATATGAATTATCATTACAATTTTCAAACGTTATTATAAAGTCTAATAAAATTATTGATTTGAATTTTAAATCAAATTATAATTAATCAGATCATATCAGACCAGATCATATCAGACCAGATCTGATCAGATCGGATCCAATCAGATCAGACCAGATCAGATCAGATCAGAACTACAAAAAATCAGATCAGAGCAGAAAAAATAAGTTGAACGGAACGGAGCCTAAATCTTTTATAATATTTTAAAGGGGGTTGATTTTTTCTATGCATCTCGAACCAAAACCGAACCCATATAAAACGCGAAGGGATCGTAATACAAATATTTAAGATCGATTATCACGGACTGAACTGTTTAAAGCTATTTACGCAATATCTCAAATACTTATTTGTTTACTCCATCTTACCATATATAAAGTACGTCGTATTGTATAATTCTTTGTTTATATTTTTTTCATTATTATTGTTGTTATTATATTTATTACTATTATGAACATTGTTTTTTGGAATTATTAATATTTCGATATTGTATGAATTAAAAAAATCTACTTTTTTTAAAATTTAGACACATTATCATTATTTATTTATATTTATGATCCTTTTAAATTCAAAATCAGTACCTTTTCATAACATAGTTGTGTTTTTTTATACAAAATTATGCTTTTATTTTAACATTCTTTTAGTAATGCATGTTTATTTATTAGAACAATTTTTAGCACGAGTATGGTATTATTATACCGTTATATTTCAAAACAAAATAGTACCGAATGGTTTTAGGGTTCATCCTGTATCGATATCAAACTGTTTAGATTTGAGCGGTCTATGATAGGTGGTTCTGGTAGTATCACAGACCGTCATGGACTGTGCCCACCCTTACGTACGCACATATGAGATTTAATATGTAACACCCTAAAATATATACTAAAATCATATAACGAATTTTTTAGGTTATCTTTTTATTATCAAGTTTGTACTCGATTTGAAGGTCTCCACGAAACGAGTTCAATGGTGTATTCTGCGTGCGAATCCGAGTTACAGGCATGGGTGGCCCAGAGGGTGTGCAAAGTGGCCAACCGCACAGGGCCCCTAAAATTTTAGGGCCCCATATTTTTAAATTTGTTAATAATTTTAAAGCAAAAGTATTCTAAAAAAATAAAATAGGGCCCAAAATGTAAATTTAGGATCGGACCAATTTTATTTTTTCATTTTTTGGGGCCGGCCCTGGTTACAGGAGTTACGAGTTTGACCGTCCCAAAACTGAAACGATTATGAACTAAACGAATAAAATACAAATATAACGTAGAGAGAATATTATCTATCAAAATTTGGGTCATTGAGTTGGTCTTGTAAAAAGATGACCAACGTCACATAGATTGTCAAGTCTGGACTTACGAGTGAAATGTTATGAGTAAAATAGACAATATAGTAGAACAAGTAAATATAAATATTTTTATATTTACTCTATCTCTCTCTCTTGCACTCTGTTATGTTTCGTGCTTCTCTTCTTCGTTTTTGCTACTGGCATCGCGCCGCTACCGTGTCATTTTTCTACGGCCGTTCGCTGCTGCTGCTTTTCGTTGCAATCGCATTGAAGCCGCTGGTGTTTGTTGGATGTTGTTCGCCATCGCACAGTGCCAGGAAGGAAGAGGCGAATTTTTGGGGGTTTTCCTAACTAAAATTAGAAGTTGATTTTTAAATTAGTAACTGGGCCGTTAATTGCTAATTGGGCCATTACTTTGACTATGAAATTAAATCAATGACCCTAATGAGATGTCCGTCGTCCAGGGATCCTCCGTCCTCTAAGGAGCTAAGGAGTCTAGTGAGCCGTCCGACTATCCAGAGACCCTTCGTCTACGAGCGAGCCACTCCTTCGGACGAGTTTTATCGTGCTCCACCAAGCATGATCGACCCTTGTCCCGCGAGTCCCAAGAAATACAATAGACGAGTTGTACAAGTTGACAAAAGTAACTCTTTAAAAGAGTAGAGAGTGGAGATCTATAATTCCGTGAGAGTTAGAGGGCCTGAATTGAATTTCGGTGAGGATGGCAGGAGGAGGCAATTGAAAATTGGGAGGAAAGCCAAAAAATTGATGTTGGGTACTCTCAGTTTTGTGATAAGAACTCACAGGTCCCATTATTTTTCAAAATGTACTCCGGGGTACCTTAAAATTTAGGAAAAGTTACTCTGGGGTGACAATCCGTCACTCTCTCCGTCAATTCCCATTTGCCGTTAACTTTTTCTTCTTCTTCACCATTCTTTCGGCCATCTTCTTCCTCTTGTTTCTTTTCTTCTTTCTTTATTTTCTTTCTTTCTTTCTTCTTCTTCTTCTTTTTCTTCTTCTTCTTCCTTCTTCTTTCTTCTTCTTCTCCTCCTCCTCCTCCTCTTTCTCCTTTGCCTTGCCTTCGGATCAGATCCAGCCTAGCGCCTACTTTATTTCTTCTTTCTATTTTTTGTTTTGAATTCTTTTTTCTTCTTCTATTATAATTATTATTTGTTATTAATTGTTATAATTATTATAAAGAAATTAATTAGTAGTTTTACTATTATTAATTTTATTTACTATTATTAAAAACTATTTATTAGTTTTACTCTTCTTTTTAAAAAAAAATAACAATAATTGTTATTTAGAAAAATAGAACTTCTTATAAAGTACTTTATTACTTACTTTGTATTAATTATTATCTATTTCTTATTATTTTCTTTTTCTTCTATTGTTGTTATTTATTATTATTATTATTATTATTATTAAAAATTAACTAGTAGTTTTATTACTCTATTTTTAAGAAAATAAAACTAATTATTACGGAGTATTTATAAAAATAGTACTTATTATTTAAAATAACACTTATTATTATTATTATTAAAAAATTAGTAGTAGTTTTACTACTCAAATTTTTTTGACATTTGATGTCTTTCACATTAGTCATGCAGTAGCCATCGGCAACCGTCATTGGTAGTAGTGAATCCCGAAAACGAGAGGACCTGAAACGAGAATAAGATGAGCAAGTGTCTCTAGATTTTTTTTAAAGATAATTTGAAATGATAAAAAATAGTTTTAATTTCATATTATTATTATTATTATAAATTAGGACGTATACTTTATAACCAAGTGAATAAATAATCTTAATTTTATAAACTATACATAAATACTCCCTCCGTCCCGTGAAACATGGGACTTTTGCTTTTTATGAGGGATTTAAAGGGAGTGTATTTTGGTATTGAATTTCCAAAAATGTCCTTTGATATGATGGGTAAAAGTATGATTTGATGGATAGATTATTAGTAAAAAGGTATGATGTGATAGTTAGGGTATGAAAAAGTAAGGGGTAAAAGTGACTTTTTAATAGAAATGAGAAGTGTTTTGTGGGACGGATAAAAAAAGAAAGGAGAAAGGTTTTATGAGACGGAGGGAGTATATTACTAAAACTAATTTTCAAGTAAAGCTTTAGAATATTTTAAGTTTTGTTAATGCAAGTGAATATTGAAAAAAAGTTAATGGGGGCACACACAAATTTTTTTATGGGGCCTTAGTAAAACTGCTATTTAAAAAAATAATAAATATATAAATAAATAATGATAATAATAATAACAAATACTTACAAATAATAAAATAATACTCCATAATATCTAACAGCAACAATTATAATAATAATATTAATAATAATAATAACAACAATAATAATAATAAATACAAGAAGAAGAAAAGAAAAAAATAGAAGAAGAAAAAAGGGAAGGCTGGATGGGATTGGAGGGTGTAGAAGGAGGAGAAGAAAAAGAAAAAAAAAGAAAAGAAGGAAGGCCGAAAGAATGGTGAAGGAGAAGAAAAGGCTAACGGCAATTACGGATTGACGGAGAGAGTGACAGATTGTCACCTCTGAGCAACTTTTTGTAAATTTTAACGGATTCAAATGGCGCTTAATTTTTTACGGGGGAGGCGGAAAATTGGCCATTTCGCCCTAATTTTCGATTTTCAGTTACCTGAAAACCAAACCTCCCGAAAATTGAAAACTTCCATTTTTCTTTAGCACGAAAACAAAACTTGCGCCCAATCCCTCCACCTGAAAATTTTCGAAGCTTCAGAAATGGCGGATTTATACGCACCCACCCTTCCTCTCATTTCCATCTCTACTCATCACCGCTGCCTCCAACCCTCCCTGCCGGAATATTCCGATTCCTTCTCGCCGGAGCCTCAGAGATTCGAGCGAGATCGATGGCGGAGCAAAACAGCTGCGTGAGAGTGACTCGCAGCATGGCGAAGAAGAGAGCCGTGGAAGCCATGACCGCCGAACACATACAGCAGAGAAAGAAGAGAGTGGCGTTGTCTGAAATCAATGAATTGACGAGCGCGGATCTGAATCGGGATCTCAAGCCTCCCAATTCCAAGTCTACTAGGGCGAATAGGAAGACGATAAACGAGAAAGGGACAGCAAAAGCGGCTGAGGACGGCGTCGATTCTAAATCCGATGACGCTCAGATGGGCGGTGCTTATGCTTCTGATATTTACGCGTATTTGCGTCAATTGGAGGCGAGTATCATTTCTCTTTAGTTTCAATTTGCTCTGTACTAGAGAGATGCACTGTTCTCTTTAAGTTTGCTATATTATGGTTAAGTTTAGGGTTTCAATGAATTGAGCTTCTATGGTTCAGGCTCAGGAGAGAAGAAGACCACTGGACGATTACCTGGAGAAGGTTCAGAGTGATGTGAGTGCAAACATGAGAGGGATATTGGTGGACTGGCTAGTTGAAGTTGTAGAGGAATACAGACTTCTCCCTGAAACTCTATATCTATCCGTCAATTACATTGATAGATTCCTCTCTGTAAGCCACGTTTCTCGGCACAAGCTTCAGCTTCTGGGCGTTTCTGCAATGCTTATTGCCTCGTAAGTGATGAAGTCTTGACCCCTTTGAGTTCATCTATAGCTCAATTGCTCACTGTGTGTTACGATTAACAGGAAATATGAAGAGATCAGTCCTCCCCATGTGGATGATTTTTGTTACATCACTGACAACACCTTCAACAAGAAGGAGGTTGTGAAGATGGAGCAAGATGTGCTCAAATCCCTCAAGTTTGAATTGGGAACCCCAACAATTAGATCTTTTCTCAGGTTGGGACTCCACATTTCTTTATATTTTAAGCTTGCCTTGCCGGTTGGAATGTCATATGACTGATGTATTTTTACTTGATTTTCTTGTATTTGCAGAAAATTTATATCTATTGCCCAAGACGATTGGAAAGTAAGCTTGAAACCATTAGAATGGTAATAGATGTAAACATTTGATGGTAATAGTGCTCATATTTGCAAATATTTATACATTGCAGGCACATAAATTGCAGTTAGAGTCACTAGTGTACTACCTAGCAGAGTTGAGTTTACTGGATTATTACTGTGTTAGATTCTTACCATGTTTGGTGGCTGCTTCTGTGATATTCCTCTCAAGGTTTACACTCAAACCTAACATCCATCCATGGGTAAGAAGACTGATTTTTTTTCTTTTCATATAGATCTATATGTAAATGTGTATGCATATCAATTGAATGCTGAACAATCATCAACCTGAATTTGTAGAATCAAGAACTGCAGCACTGCACTGGATATAAGTCCTCTGATCTGAAGGAATGTGTCTCTATCTTACATGACTTACAGTTGAGTAGAAGAGGTGGCTCTTTGGTGGCTTTAAGGGACAAATATAAACAACCCAGGGTATACATTTTCTTCTATCTTTTTTTACTGCCTGAGAATATTGGGTTATTGACTTATTGTTACGGAGTATTTATCTGATCATCTCAATTTAATGACCTTTTTGAAACAGTTTAAAAGCGTCTCGGCGTTACTGTCTCCACAGAACATACCGGACTCCTATTTTTGAAGTCCAAGAAGAAGGAATGTGAAGTTGTGAATGGTACATTGGTACATGGAGTATGGTCTTGATAATGATCTAAATGATTCTCCTGTTTCTTCTTAATGGGTAAACTATTGAGCCATTACGGGTGTAAACTCCAGCATTAATGTGTTCGGTATATATTTATGAGCGATTAAAATTTGTTGACTTTGTATTGTATAAAAAGATTTCTATAGAAGAACTCAATATGCAACACAGTCTTAGAACATATGGGGTGTAAATGACTATTGGCTATCACATTTCTTGTCCATTGCCAAACCCAAACTTAGGGCAGTAAACATTTGTGTTTGGCATTTTAAATATTCTTATTTTTTTAATAAAGTTGTGCTTTCATGATATTAAGTTCTACATGTGAAATGTAGATTTTTTCACCCTCTTAATGAGTTGACTTAGAGACCTTTATTTTTTAATAGAGTTCAATTTATTTATGATATTTATAATGATCCATATAATGAGCCAAATTACTCATTATGATATGATATTGTGTATTATTCATCGTATAAAGGAAACATCTAAAATTAAGTGCCCAACTAGGTTCGAAGGGATAACCTCTTGATCTGCATTCAAATGCTCTACCACTGAGCTTGGACCCTCTTTTGTTTTTTTAGAGTTTGTCTATTTAGATTTGAGAAATTAAATTAAATCATAAATTTTAAAACTGTTTTGTTCAAGGGATTTGAAGACATTTGCGAGCTTTAATAGATTGAAAATGTATAAACATATACTACATTTTAATAGAGTTATTACTGTTAAAAAAGTATTTGAAGACAATCATTGGTATTCCTTCCCTTTCTCAATTGCGTAACGTCCACCGTCAAAACTTATATGTATAAACATATACTACATTTTGATAGACTTATTACTGTTAAAAAAGTATTTGAAGACAATCATTGGTATTCCTTCACTTTTCCAACTGCGTAACGTCCACCGTATATGTATAAACATATACTACATTTTAATAGAGTTATTACTGTTAAAAAAGTATTTGAAGACAATCATTGGTATTCCTTCCCTTTCCCAAGTGCGTAACGTCCACCGTCAAAAGAAAGTATCCAACAGTTAGCCCAATCGGGTTCGAACCGGTGACCTCTTGATCTGCAGTCAAATGCTCTACCACTGAGCTATGGACCCTCTTGTTGTTAATTACTTTTTAGAGTTTGGCTAATTATATGTGAAAAATTAAACTAAAACATAAACTTAATACTTTTTCATTCAAGGGATTTGAAGATGGTTCTTGGTATTCCTTCCCTTTGCTAATTGTGTATTGTTCATCGTCAAAAGGAAACATCTAAAATTAAGGGCCCAAACAGGTTCGAAGGGATGACCTCTTGATCTGCAGTCAAATGCTCTACCACTGAGCTTGGAACCACTTTTGTTAATGTTTTTTAGAGTTTGTCTATTTAGATTTGAGAAATTAAATCATAAATTTTAAAATTGTTTTGTTCAGGGGATTTGAAGACCTCTACGAGCTTTAATAAATCAAAAATGTATAAACATATACTATATTTTAATAGAGTTATTACTGTTAAAAAAGTATTTGAAGACAATCATTGGTATTCCTTCCCTTTCCCAACTGCGTAACGTCCACCGTTAAAAGAAAGTATCCAAAAGTAAGGGCCTAATCGAGCTCAAACCAGTGACCTCTTGATTTGCAGTCAAATGCTCTACCATTGAGCTATGGAATCTCTTTTTGTAAAAATTTTTTAGAGGTTGGCTAATTAGATGTGAAAAATTAAACTAAAACGTAAATTTTAATACTGTTTCATTCAAGGAATTTGAAGACAATCCTTGGTATTCCTTTCATTTCCCAACTACGTAATGTCCACCGTCAAGAAAATATCCAAAAGTAAGGGCCCAACCGGGTTCGAACCAATGACCTCTTGATCTGCAGTCAAATGCTCTGCCACTGAGCTATGGACCCTCTTGTTGTTAGTTGTTTTTAGATTTTTTTTAATTAGATTTGAAAAATTAAACTAAAACATACATTTTAATACCGTTTCATTCTAGGGATTTGAAGACAATCTTTGGTATTCTTTCCATTTGCCAACTGTGTAACATCCACCAACAAAAGAAAACATCTAAAATTAAGGGTCCAATTGGGTTCGAACCAATGACTTCTTATTTTACAGTCAAATGCTCTACCACTGAGCTACGAACGATCTTATTATTAATTACTACGCATTTTTTATAATTTATCTAATTTGATTTGAAAAATTAAAGTAACTCATAATTTTAATACTATTTTGTTCAAGGAATTTGAAAAGGAAAAGAAAGACAATGAAATAAAAGCATCAGAAAAGAAAAGTAAATGGAAAATAAAATAGAAGCAAACGTGAATTAAGAGAAGAAAAAACAAAGCTTATCCTATTTTTATAAATAAAAAAAATTATTTTGAGTATATGGAAAAGCCTCAAAAAAAGGTCATGGTTGTTTTTTGGTTTTGGAATTATTTTTTGGATGTTTTGATTAATTTTGACTTCTTTCAATGATCAAGTAGCCAAAAAGTCTATTTGGCATTTAGTTATTGGAATTAGGGTTGTAAACGAACCGAATCGAATCGAACATTCATGGATAATATTCGTATTCGTTAAGATAAAGTGATATCAAATTCGAATTCAAATTTGGTTCGAATATTTTTTAAAATTCGTATTCGGTTCGTTTAAAAATTCGGTTCATTTAAAAATATTCAATTCATTTAGATTTTAAAAATTTTTATAACCATTTAATCTATTTATTAGCTATTATTTGTGTGTGTGTGTGTGTCTATATATATATATATATATATATATATATAANNNNAAATATATATATATATATATATATATATATATATATATATATATATATATATATATATATATATATATATATATATATATATATATATATATATATATATATATATATATATATATATTTGTATAGTTAAATTTATATTCCGAATATATTTGTCAAACTCGCGAATCGAATACCCTTGATTCATATTCGTATTCGATAAGGATTCGAATATTTATTCAGATTCGTATTCGTATTCGGATTTGAAAAAATCGAATACGAATCACCTCATACGAATATGAATCACGAACCGAACTAAAAATATTCGATTCATTTACAACCCTAATTGGAATTGGCTGATTGAGTTCGAAAAGCCAATATATGTAAAGTTATGGATAATAATAGTTTTTCAGATTCGTTATTTGACAAAATTGAATAATTTTTAGTCCTTATATGTAATTTTTTTAATTAAATAAAAACTATTATTTATTGCATAAATAAATAATAAAAATAAATAAATAATAAATACTCTTTATTCCTTCTCCAAGTAAAATTCACGGAGGGGTTTACGAGATTTTTTTTTTTTTAAATTTTTGTTCCTTTAGAATTGGTGTATAAATACAAAATAATCATATATCAATAACTATCAAAAGTATTCAAAATAAAAATACTACTATGATTATATTACTTTTTCAAATGATCGATTCAACACATAAATAAATAAAAAATATTGTTTCATAAGAAAACTATCTTAAAATTTTATTTGAAGAAAGAAGAAATACATATGAATAAATAATTCACATATAAATCATATTGCAAAGTTAATTATATCACCTGATTATATACTAGAAATCACCCTAAAGAGGACTAAAACGTAAAGAAAAGTACCAAAATATAACTTTCATGTTTTTTTCCAAAATAGAATTTCACATTGTGGTAATGTGACGGAAATGTGACATTGTACATGTGCACATTACTATACTTTTTGGTAATGTACATGACCATGTTTGGTAATGTAAATGCATTTTAAGTCCTATTTCGAGAATAAAAACATGAAAATCCTATTTTGATATATTTTCAATGTTTTAATCTTACTCTGGTCTTTCTCCCATTATATACTCCCACCATCTCCAATTTGATTACAATTTTTTTCTTCTCTCGATAACTTTTGTTTGTTTACGTGATTTTATTAAGTATTTGATCAAATAAAATATTCTTGTCACCTCTTGTTTTGTAAAACTTTTGACGTAATTTTTTAATATGTAATTTTTATTTTTATTAATATACCAATTTGAAAATAAAATGATTTCAAAAGGTGAGATATTTCTCTTCCTAAACCTCAATTTGTAATCAATTTGGAGGTGGAGGGAGTATGAGTTATTTTTATGTGGTCCGAGATCCATATTTAAAATCTAGACATTCTCACATTTTTCATAGGTTTGCATGTAGATTTTTGGTAATAGGCTCACTTTTTTTAATCCTACAAATACACTAAAGTTCATAAATTTGCCATTATATACTCCGTGTATGTATGTATGTATGTGTGTGTGGGTGTGATGTTTTTAAATGTAATTAAATCTTAAAAAACTACTCCCTCCGTCCGAGAGTATTTGTCCACTTTCATTTTTACACACTATCCAATGCACTTCTTTAATCCATTTTATCTTGTAATTTGTATATTAAAAAATTATAAAAGTTATATATTAATAATCTATATGTTAAGACAAATCAAACAAGATCACACATGACTATATTTAGGCTTACACATTGAGAGAATTTGATGAGTCAAAGTGTTTTGATAAACAGTTCTAAAAGTCAAAAGTAGACAAAGAGAATGGGACGAAGATAGTATTTAGAATCACTTAAACTTGTCAAATATTTTTTCTACTCTATCAAAACACCCAACTCAAAATCGAAACAGGCCACCAGGCCCGCCGCACCTACCAAGCACCATCTTACCAACCCCCACCGCGCACATCTGCAACTGTCTTCTCCTTCCAAAACTCCCACAATGTTAAATTACGGTTCCCCCATAGACCCATATTATCCGTCTCCATGGCTTCTTCATATTTCTGCCCACCAAAACCCGCCCTCTCCATCTCCAGGCCGGATCGCACCTTCCTCAGAGCCACTAATCATGCCTTTGCCCCTCGGCTCCCCGCATCCTGTCTTCTTCCTTCATCCGGCCGCTTGAAGTCCAATGCTGCGACTCCACTGAAGGTCTTCGCAAGATCAGCAGTTCCTTTGATGGACTCGTCTCTGAGTAAAGCTTCTTCTTCTTCTTCCGTCCCTACGGTTGTTGAGGTGGATGTCGGCGGTGACCGTAGCTACCCGATTTACATAGGTTCTGGACTTCTCGATCAACCTGAGCTTCTCC